CCTACACACTGTGCCTTTAAGTAAATTTAAATCTTGTTACATTTAATTGATCAAATTAAGTAAAATTTACCTGATTTATTCACAAATCTTTAACTATATTCTTAATAACTTTTACTAGATAATGATGAGTAAATATTACATGAATTTGTAGCATTTAAATTTACTTAACAAATGATTTTCTCTAGTAAATCTTGTGCATGTTTTTATATCTTTCAGACAAGATTGTAGTTGAAGTAACTTGATTAGATTCATCAGGTTTCATGGATAAATTATGGCCTTTTTTTCTCATTTATCTCTCTTTCATATGTATCTTAAGCTATAATCTAACCAAGGAGACTTTTTTCATCTAGCAGATAATCTTCTGATTGGGGCATGCATCACTCACAGCTAAAATTAGTCCCCAGAAAGTGTTTAGTGTGAACTCTACATGTGTGATCTAAAATATATCTCATTTTGTGTTTGACACATCATTAATTGTCTCCAGTCTGTCATCTGATCTCTTTTATTCTCTTCTTTTTAATGTAGAATTCAAAAGAATAACTCAAACACAATATTATTCATAGGAGAATAAAGTAAATATTGAATGAAAAGATGAATAATGGCTTAATAAATTAGGTTAAAACACCACAAGCTCTAATTTGTGTGTTAATCTGTAGCAGTGGCAGATCAGACTCCGAACGTTTGAAACTTTTTGTCCAACAAACAAACCAAAAAGGATGAAAAGGAGGTGAGAGAACAGACAGACAGGGAGCTGAAGAGCGCTGAGAGGTGTGAGCGTGTTCGATAAAGCATCATCTCCACAAGTGGAGGACATCAGAACCTTTTCTCACCACCATCTTTTGTCTGGTCCAGCGTTATTTAGAGCTGAATGTTTTCAGAGGAAGCTGCTGGCCGATAAGAGCCGACGCAGACTGATGGAGCTGTTAATGTCTGTTCAGTCGTCACCCGTTTATCAGAACCACCAGCTGCTGTGCGTTTTTATTCTCAATGCAAAATTTAACACAAAAGACCAGAAGAAACACGGAAACACAGACGACAAAACCTTTGTACACGTCTGGGGTTTAATCTGTCAGGACACAATGAAACTGATCTGGGCTTCACCAGGTTCTAGAAATATTTCAATTTAACAAGTAAAAAAAACAACAACGACACACACACAAGAACGAAACCACAGTGGAAACGTTCTGTGAAAATCTAAGATGCTTCCACAGGAATTAAGAGGTTAAGTAGTGTGTCAACACAACGCCAGGGTGGGAAGACGTCAGTAATGACCTGAAAAAGCATCTGTTGCTTTGCATCGATCTGGGAAAGGTTAAGTGCTGTTTAATGGAGTCCAATGTTCCATAGACATTAATTAATAGTAATTACAAGTGGAAAACATTTACCATATTTATTCAAGTATAATACGTAAAATTTAATCCATAAAATCATCCATAAAGTTGGGGGGTAGTACTATACTCGGATAAACATTTTTACTTATGAATGTTAACTGAAATATCAACTTCTTTCAGTCCGGAAATGAGACCGCATTGTAAAAAGCAGTTGAAACGAGCTTGCCTCTGACACTCCTCCGTGCTTCAGAGCAAGATAATAACAGATCCAGGCAGGCGACATGATGTGAAAAAAGGGGGTAAAAGTATTCCTGCACCTTAGTGATGATAACAAACTAATGACATTAGCGTTTGACTGGGCCGCTGCTCAAACAACAACAAACACGTGTTCGTCTGTAATGGCTGCCGTCTACCAGTGTTCTGAAAAAGTTTGTATCCCTGAAAAAAGTTTCCCCACCAGAGGGGGCGCTCGTGAGTAGGAAGTAATCTGCTTTTCCCCCACAAGATGGACTAAATCTCATGTGAAGTCTCTGACTTTTGTGTTGGCGCCTCCTGGTGGACTATGTGTAAAATGCCAAAATTCATATGATGCTGCTACAGCTGATATATATTTGTTGTCAAAATACCTTTTAGTACATATGTTGTTAAAGTAAAATGAACAGTTCAATGATCATTTTACTGATATGTATAAAAACTGCAAAGGCTGAAAAATCTTGAAGTCTGTATGAAATTGGAGGTAGTTTGATGATTCAATTTCTTGTGCTTTTTAAGCTCAAAAAAGTGGGGGGTTGTATTGTACATGAGATCGTATTATACACAAATAAATACGATAAATAAGCTGCCAGTCTTTCCAGGAGTGGACGTCCAGTAAATTCATCCCTAGGTCAGACCATGCAATGCTCAGAAAAACAAGCTCCGGCTCAGACTCTACACATCTCAGTTAGCAGGTCAAAGGTCATGACAGGACAATTAAACTGGTCTATTTTGAAGGTTTGGAGAAACCAACACAACTTAGGTTTGTGAAGTTTCATCTAAAGGAACCACAAGACTTAAGGAACAACGTTCTTTGGACAGATGACACCAAAGGAGAGATATTTACCCACAATGCACAGCAGCTCGATCAGTGAAAAAAAAAAAACAGCACATCAGACAAAAAATATATAAATAATAATTGTTTGATACATGAAGACTCAGTGGACTTTGTTGCATTTAATCACTTGAGATGAGATTAAATTATTTTAGAACCACTTAAAGACCAGATTAATTATGATTTCTTGATAACGTGTTTCCCTATGAACCTGTGTTTCATGCTGTTTATACAAATTAGGTTTTGCTTCTTATTTGTTTGCATTTTACAGAAATCTTCCTGATTTTATCATCATCTTTGCTTTCAGTGAAGTCTGACAGCAGGTTTGTTTGTGCAGGAGCGACGCTCTGCCACCAGCAGGATGCACCTCCTGAGACGCACCATCAGCGTTCCAGTGGAGACTCAGTTCCCAGAATACCACAGTCAGCTGTCCACGGAGAGCGGTGAGCTGCAATCATAATGAGCACAAACACTGAAAACTGCTTCACTCACCTGTTCTGGTCCAAATATAACGTTTGACACGATTATAAATTCAAGTCGCTCATGGGTTTCTACAAACAAAAATGTCCAAAGCTGAAGAAACGTAACTCAGTTTAAGTAAAGAGTGCCACATAAATAATAAAAAATGTCCTGTTACTTCTCTGTAGTGACAATAAAACTAATAGAAATGACCTCACAAGGCTCTAATCAGACTGATCAGTTTTTCTACCTTCTGACCACTAGATGGCGAGCCTGCAGCTCTGTCACACATTTTATCTTCACTAAACTTCAGTGAGTGTGAGAGTATTTGAGTAATGTGTATGTGTTTCTTTGTTTAAAAGTTTTGTATTGTATTTCGGATTTAATTATTATGATTTGTGCTTTTGTTGCTCCTTTTATGTATTATAAGGACCCCCCTTGAAAATGAGATGTTACATCTCAAGGGGTTATCCGTGAAACAAATGAGTAAATAAAAATTACTCAAACATGTTGTTAAAAACTGTTACAAATGTTGATTTTTTTTATGGAACCAGAAGAGGCTCAGAGATTAAATAGTCTTTGTGTTTTACCCCCAGTTTTTTAGTTTGAGGTAGTTTGAACATTTTTAGGCCTCTGTTTGTTCCTCACAGGGACAGTTGGATTAGATCAAATTTGGTCTATTTCCTTGTATAAAGAGCAAAAACGCAATTACCTTGTGCAGGAGTAAACATTTGGTACAAAACAGACTAAAGAATATTTCCCACCTGTCTGGAGTTTTGGCTTGACCAGTAGCTGATGAACCGGACAGCCGCAACTGAGTAAAAGTAACAGTTTAAAAAATGCACTTATATTTATATAATGTAAAATAAAGCCCTCTGTATTCAACATTGGCTGCATGGTGGCTCAGTTGGTAGAGCTGTTTTCTCTCAGTAAAAAAGTCACCAGAATAAATCCTGGCCCGTGACCTTTCCGGGTAGAATTTGCATGTTTTCTCCATGTATGCATGGGTTTCCTGTGGTTACTGTCTGTAAGTGTAAGGCACTTTGGGGTCCAAAGGGACTTGATAAAGTGCTATACTGTATAAGTTCAGTCCATTTACCATTCACCATTTACTCTGGTTTCCCCCCACAGATTAAAAACATGACAGGCTAGGTTAGATAGATAGGTTAGCCTAATTGGTAAACTGTAGGTGTGAGTGACTGCTGGATATGGATACCAGTGTCCCCTGTGACCCTGAAAGAAAGAAACAGGTTAAGATGATGGATGGATGGATGGATGGATGATGGATGGATAATGGATAGTTGGATGATGGATGGATGGATGGATGGATGATGGATGGATGGATGGATGGATGACATGCAAGTCCGATTCATTTTCAGTACCTTGAAAAAAGACACTACTGTAGATCTGGGAAATGGGACGATCTTCCCAAAACTCTGGACTATAATTAAAACAACAAAAAAGTATTTTTGGTCATACCTAAAAAAAAAACAACATGATCACAAACATCACCTTATCTTATGCAGACAATTGCATAATTCCTGCACCTAAAACCTGTCAGCACCTGTGCAGTTGTCTCTCTTCCTGCCTTAGCCTGTGTTGTAAAATGGCCCGACCACAGTTCACCGCTCAGCAGAGGTCTTTCCTGTTTACTGAATACCTCCAAACGAAAAGTGTTCACACTGTCCTTGAGCGGTTCCAACGTGAGTTTCCAAATGTTAGGGTTCTCATGCTTCTCCAGCATGTTGCTCTTCAAAGATGGTTCTGACTGCTTCAATGTTGGCTGGTGTGCGTTGGGTCCTTTGTTGTTCGGACCTCCCCTTGTTGAGATAGTGGCTGGTCCCAAAAGCACGGTACTTGTTAACGTTGCGGAAGACAGTGAGACGGCTCGGAACAATTGTTACAATTGTCTGCATAAGATAAGGTGATGTTTGTGATCATGTTGTTTTAATGAAAGAAAATGACCACATGAACACATGATCTTGTACCAGGTTATGGAATAATTACGTATAATACCCACTGAATACATGTACTGTACATGTCATGTACATTGGGGTATTGGTGCCATGGTGGTTCGAGATTGAAGTTCATCCGTTTAACTCTCCTAACCTAGCCACACAGCAAAGACCACATCACATGAACAGATTTCACTCACAAACATTCAGATGCTAGACAGGAAATTTTGAGAATACACTCGAGGTCAAATGTGAGTTCAGAGTAAATAAACATGGGCGACGAGGAAGTATGTATGAAAAAATTATGACCACCGCTTTGCAATGCAGGGGTCATAATAATTACATTGAGTGGTGAACATTTTACTGTATGTGATACTGACTACATACCATATGAACTGAGCAGCACTCATGTTTAAATCTACACATTTTAAGGCTTTGATATTGAAAATATACACTAGGGTTGGGCAAAATTGTGCTGTGTGCAATTAATCATCAGAAAAACTTTAATCGGTTATTTTTTGGCACTTGACAATTAATACAATTAATGCCACCAGGCAGACTGACTGGAGATTCCCCGGTCAGTCCGCTCGGTGCTCCTCTAGGCTTCAATATGATGAACATTTTTAAAAAGAGTTCTGTACTTTATTTATCATAACTCCGGTTTAACTTGGTCTATCAACACAATTTAAAAATTGATGTTTAGCTTGAAGTCTGTATTTTTAACACAACTTGGAACAGATTTTTATGGAGAGTGAATCATTCTCATTAGAGTGATTTAAATTGGTCACATAACAAGGGCATGCTGGCATCCAGGGACTCTACACTGAAAAAACAAATTTTTGGGTGTTGTAACATTTATTTAATCATTCTTTTAAATTTTACAAAAAAAATCAAATTCTCTAAACTACTAGAATTTACTAAATAAACAATACGCATTATATTATATATCAATATTACTGTACAAAAAAGTAAATGTTAATATTTTAGCAGTAATATTTGAGTGCTTTTTCTAGACATCACATAATGAATTTATTAAGTAACTTCTACTCTTCTGGACTAAAACTGAGGGTGCATGCACACACAAAGGCTGCTGCTCCTCATTCCCTTGCTTCACTTTTCAAGGAGAGGACAAGACATGGTGGAAATAAAACATAAGTTRTCTGGTTTCTTTTGCTTGAATACATTTGTTGGTGTGCAATAGTTTGATGACATAATGTAGGTGATATTTAGTTGTCAGGGAACAGGGAATGCATATTGTAGCATTCTGTTGTGTTTGACTGTTTGTCATGTGACTGCAGTGGAGGATTGTGGGTAGGATTCATGTTTGTTGTTGTTAAATCATTTTAGGGAATTGGTTAACGTTGTTCTTTCAGCAATTAGTCTGTTGTGTTACTCTAATTTGTGTGTTCATTATTTGTTAACTTGTGTTAAAGCGTTCAGCAGAAGTAACCATAAGTGAGAGTGGTAGGCCTAGTCATTAATAAGACCTGTGAGTTTCACTTTGTCTGTGTTGTTCATGAAGAAGAATACAATAAAGGTTCTTCAAAACTGCCACCTGGTGGTGAAGTCTTGAACCACAACAAAAGCTACACCTCTCTCTGTAGCTGTGAGGTGTCATGCTACAATATTGTGCTTGATGCATGTGCACTGTTATAAAGAACTTGTAAGATTTACTAGAAAAAATCCTTGTAACTATATGCACTACTGTTTGTTAAGTAAAGTTAAATGCTACAAATTCATGTAATATTCACTCATTATTATCTGGTAAAAGTTATTAAGAATATAGTTAAAGATTTGTGAATAAATCAGGTAAATTTTATTTAATTTGATCAAGTATATTTTACAAAATTTAATTGAGCAATTTAAGTAAAATTTACCTGATTTATTCACAAATCTTTAACTATATTCTTAATAACTTTTACTTGATAATGATGTGTAAATATTAAATGAATTTGTAGCATTTAAATTTACTTAATAAATGTTAGTGAAAATTGTTACAAGGATTTTTTCAAGTAAATCTTACAAGTTATTTTTTTTTTCAGTGTAGGGGATTAATCATCCTTTTAATTGTTATGGGCTAAATATCACAATTAATCGTGATCAATTTTATTTTTTGCCAATATCACCCAAACCTAACATACATTTACACATGAAATGTCACATAAAAAGTTTAGTTAGACACAGCCTCACACCCATCTGTGCCCATGTGGAGGTGTCTCCTGTGTCTCCTCCCTCCCACCTCTGTTAGTCCAGTTCCCACCTCCACACAGAGACAGAGTCTGAGCCGGCAGCTCGGACCGGACAGAGCAACGGGACTTGCTGAGGTACTTCATTCACGATGTGTTGACCCTGGCAGATTAAAATGGAGCCTGACACCCACAGCCGGCAGGGTGAGTCTGAGAAAGTCTGTTTTTTTTTTTTATCCTGTTTAACTTGGTTTTATGGCTTGACTGAAAATCAGGAGCAGGACTTCAGTCTGTTCTGTAGGCTGAGAGTATACAGGCTGTTACATGACATTATCCTACCAAACACGGTTAGTTTCAACAGAAAGGGGTAGAAGCCTGAAATGATGTGGCTGCTTAAGTTTGGCTGCAGTCAGATAGATGGTTTCTTCATCGTTTTGGTTTTCAGATCCAGAAGTTCTGCCCTTCAGATCTGAACAGAATCATTAGCATCTGCAGGGCCCTGGGAGTTTCATTCAAATGCTGCATAATAATATGGTGGTTACATGAATCTGTGTATCTGGGGCCTGTGCAGAGTTTGTGGGTGTGTGCTAGAAACCCCAGAGCAGAACAAAAGAATGAAAGTAGGATGGAAAGAAAGCAGAGAGAGAAAGAGTTATGTACACAAATAAATCCAGGGGGATCTCCACTGTCTGCCTGCTTCTTTCTCCAAATGTTAGAGCATAAACTTGATAGTTAAAAGGCAGAAAAGCTCTGTGTGTGCTTAAACTGGGCCAGAATGTTTCATCTTCATGGCCATCGGGAAGGACTCTGCTGATGAAGAATGTGGCTGAGAGAATGAGTCAA